AGTTTGTTCCACAATCTAGACACCCTCGGGACAAAGGAGCGGTCGTATCGGCCAGTTCTGGATGTACGAAGTTTGACACGGTTAGGATGGGACGCCGAAGTCAGGCGGGTCTGTCTGGCAGGCACATCGCGCGGCGGCATCATGGAAGAGAGCTCTGAGGAGCAAAGCCCGTTGGTGTAGCGATAGAAAAGAGCTAGATCGCCGACGGCCCGCCGGTGCGAAAGAGTCCCGAGACTGTCTGTTAGAGAAGAGTCATCGATCAGTCGGACCGCCCTCCTCTGGACAGCATCGAGCATGGGCAATGTAGTCGGGGCGGCAGCACCCCAAATGTGTGAGCAATACTCGAGGCTAGGCCTTATCTGGGCCTTGTATAGAGTGAGAAGGTCATGCGGAGAAAAGTACTTCTTAGCCCTAAACAAATAGCCTAGCTTTTTCCCAGCAGCTGCAGCTATTGAAGAGATGTGTTCGTGCCAGATCAGGTCCTCGGTGATCTGGACTCCGACCAGCCGAAATGAATGGCTCTTTGGTAGGACTCGACCGTCCATCGAAACTGTATGAGCGCTAGGACGCTTTTTGTTCGTCAAAGTACAGTACTGTGTTTTGGAAGCATTGAACTGTACAAGATTGTTGCGTCCCCAAGCAGTGATAGCCTCCAGGTCTCTTGTCAGAGAAGAAGTCGTCGCTAGTCTTCTTTTTTCCAGCTCAGCGGCAGAGATCGGCTTGTCACTCTGAATTCCTGCATGTAGAGCGCTGTCATCAGCGAAGCTGTGGATCGGGTTGATCGTGCAGGAAAGGAGGTCGTTGATATGCAAGAGAAACAGTGTTGGAGCCAAGACCGATCCCTGGGGAACACCCGCGTTGACGTTGTGGGATGAAGAGGAGAATCCGTCAATTACGACGGATATCTTGCGGCCAGAGATAAAGTCAGCCACCCATCTGCAAAGCTTTTCTGGGAGGCCGTAGGATGGAAGTTTGCTCAAGAGGGCAGCGTGCCACAGCTGATCGAACGCTTTCGTGATGTCAAGAGCAACGACATGAGCCTCACCATGAGACTGGATGAGTTTACTCCACAGTTGCGTGACGTAAGCTAGGAGATCCCCTGTGGATCGTTGGTGCCGGAAACCGTACTGCCTGTCGCTAATCAAGCTGTGACGTTCGAGGTAGTCCAGAAGCTCGCGATTTATGCACCTCTCCATCACTTTACTTATAACAGAAAGCAGAGCTATAGGCCTGTAGTTGTAAGGGTCGGTTTTAGATCCTTTTTTTGGGATGGGCTGTACATGAGCAAATTTCCAGCCCTCTGGGAAGGTGCCGGATGCATAAGATATCTGGAAGAGACGCGAAAGAACTGGAGCAAGCTCAGCTGCACATCTCTTCAGTACAATGGCAGGAATCAAGTCCGGACCAGAAGCTTTGTTGATGTCGAGCGACAAGAGCACTCGTCTTACGGTCTTATGCCTGAATGTTACCTCCCGCATAGTGTGGGGAACCCTTTGAATTGACGGCACTTGGGCGTTGGTGGGGACGTCCATGGTGGAGTTGGCAGCAAAGATCTTGGCTAGCACTTCCGCCTTGGCCTTTGAGTCGAATACAATAGTTCCATCCTGACACGTAAGTGGTGGAAGGCTACTGTGTGAGAAGTTCTTTTCAATCTGCTTGGCCAGCGTCCAGAAAGACTGACTGCCATTGCGCTGCGACATTACCCTGTGCCTAACTTTTATATCATGCTGGGTTTTGGCATTGCGAACCGCTTCGTTATATTTGTTTCTGGACTCGACGTCGGCTTGTCTGTTCTCTACAGTGGGGTTTTGTAAGTAGGTTCTGTGGGCCTTGATCTTCTGCTGGCGAGCAGTGTCACACGATTTGTTGAACCAGCCGTTGGACCCTGGTTTAGGAACTTTCACTGTGTGAGGGATGTATTCCTCCATTCCGACGTGGATAATTTCGGTTATTGAAGAACAGACAGTCGACGCATCCGCGTCAGTGAAACAGACATCTCTCCAAGGAAAGCTAGAGAAGAAGTCTCTGAGCCCCTCCCAGTCGGCATGTCCGTAATGTACATGTGATGTAATGTAAGATGATTTGCGAAAATTTCAAAGTGGGCGACATTTGTGGATTAATAATAGAAGAATAATGAAGGTGAACAACAAATAAATGTCCAATATTGTAGCGATAAAAGAAAATACCATGGTACGAAAGACGTCTTTTTATAGTGGTAAATGAATATCCCTACTTCCCTACTAATATTCTAAATGTGAAAGTGTGTATGCTTGTTTGTATGTTCCGCTTTCACGCCAAAACGGCTGAACCGATTTCGCTAAATTTTAGCACAGGTATAGACTAGACCTCAAGGACGGACATAGGCCAAATATTTTCAATTATTTACATAATATAATTGAGATCACTTGAATTTTCTCAGTTTGTTTTTTATGTTTAAATCTGAGCCCCCCCTGGCTACGTGCCTGCTCTTTAGAGAGTGAAATATCCAATAGCTCCGGCAAATTCTGGTCTTTTGCTAATAGAAAAAGAAACTGCACTGGTATTCCGAAGGATATGCTGTTCAATGGGCGGGAGTTGAATACACCTAATGATGTAGTTGGCGCATTTGCGGAACACTTTAGTAGGAGCTATAATACTCCAACAGCTCAATCTGATTTTTCTACTGACTACCATTTCACTACTACCCTAGCTATGTCTAGCGTACAGGAAATCGATGTGCTACAGGCGCTCAAGAAAATTAAGCCAAAAATGACTGCAGGGCCTGATCAAATACCTGCATTTTTTGTGAGAGATTGTGCGTCCTTTTTAGCATATCCACTCATGACCATTTTCAATCTCTCTCTGAAAAATAATCGCTTTCCATCTATTTGGAAGTTGTCTAGGGTAATTCTTGTTTTTAAAAGAGGTGAGAGGAATCGGGCTATCACAATTATCAGTAATTTCGCTAAAACATTCTAAATAGTGATACAAACTGTGCTATATTTCCATGTAAGCAGGTCTATCTCCATCAGTCAACACGGTTTCATGAAGAGCAGGTCCACAGTTACTAATTTGCTACATCTTACTCAATATGTTTGTGAATCAATCGATATACAACTTCAAACGGATGTAATATATACTGATTTCTCTAAAGCGTTTGATAGTTTAGATCATAACATCTTACTAAAGTTATCTAGATTTGGTCTTTCAGATGCATTGTTTCTATTTTTCAGATCTTATTTGTTTAACAGGAAACAGTATGTTATGTGCAATGGACATAAGTCAAACGAATACCCTGTAATGTCCAGTGTTCCTCAAGGATCTAATTTGGGACCTCTGTTATTTATTATGTTCTTAAATGATATTTCTGAAGTTATCGATGTCGATTTTCTTATATATGCTGACGATATGAAACTTTTCTGTAGAGTCTGTAACGTTGACGACTGCCATCGCTTGCAATGCAACATTGTAAGGGTTGACAACTGGTGTTGTGAAAACAGACTGGTTTTGAATGCTGCTAAGTGTCACGTTTTGTCGTTTACTTTAAAAACAGAGGTAATGATGTATGAATATATGTTAGTATTGGTGACAGAAAACTTGACAGACCTAATACAATTAATGACTTTCAAGTCACATTTGGCAGAAAAAATTCCTTCTCCTATCACATCGAAAATGCTGTTGTGGCTGCATCAAAGGCGTATGGTTTTATTGCAAGAATAACTGGTGATTTCCACAACTCCTTTACACTGGAAATACTGTACTATGCTTATGTAAGATCTAAGTTTGAGTATGCGTCCCTGGTATGGTATCCTCATAACCAAATATATATTGACCGCTTAGAGTCCGTTCAAAGAAAGTATTGAAAATACCTCTCATATAAAGCTGACGGGATATATCCTGCTATTGGCTTTCCTCATTGTGAGTTGATAATGAGACACAAAATCTATAATTTAGGGAGCAGACGCAAAAAGAATTCACTTAAGTTCACTCACAAGCTCACCCATGGCATTATTGACTCCAGTGTCATCTTAGATTAGCGTCTCGAACTAGTTTAACTTTTTACTTAGCCAGGCCTAGGACTGACATACTTAAGTTTTCCGTTTCTATATAATGTGCCGTAATTATAATTCAGTTAATAGCGTTTTAGATATATTTTCGTTTTCTGCGACTTTGGGAGACATTAATGCTTATTTTCATTAATGCTTGCCGGTGTGATTGTTGAGTGCTGGGTAGGTAAAGCTACAACGCTTTCTTTCCTCGCAATTTTTTTGAGGTTTTTTTGCAGCGTTTTAGCTTTCTCTACATACATCCACTACATGCATTTGTTTATATTCTCATGTTTATCCATCCTGTAATTGGCTATGGCTGTTGGATGTTGCTAAATAAATAAATATATTATTCATAGAGAATTCTTCATTCTCGGATTTGCGTTGCGTGCCGAGCCTTCATCCACGATTGCCTTCAGCTCGTTTGTTCGTTCATCATTTTTTGGTCTCTACGCTTCTCCACAATCGATGATGCAGTCAAATGATGCAGACAATCCACATGACCATCTCCACTACAACCACGGCTCGAAATGTTATTTCCGAGGGCGAGATTCGCAGTCGCGGCCCGTCTAGTCGATGTATGGGTATCTCGACACTTTGTCACACCGGACTACCCAGGTCCCCTGCCTTCAGCTCACTAAGTGCCCAGTTTGTCTCCACAGACATCTCTAAAGCTACGTTCTCACGGAAAGTGGCACGCTAGATTTATCCTTGCATCCGTGGAATTGTCTCCCTGTGAACGATTTATCGCCTATGACGTCATCGGAAGTCCACGAGCGCTCACGCTCAGTATCAAACACGTTGACCTGTTCATTGCTGCTGTTTGTTATGAATCACCGTGGCTTGACGATAGAGTGTTCTCATACAATGTATGAGATTATAGGTTCAAATTCCGCCGACCTTACGTTTTTCTTTATAATTCAGATTTTGTACCTAGTCCGAAAACTTCACCAGATATCTTTATTTTTGTTCAAGGTAGCACCTATTCTAGTTATCCCACCTCCTTTGGGGGCGTATCCCATGCAGAAACACTTTCTGTTACACTTACATCAGACAGAGGAGCGGGGTATGGATTGGAGGTTTCAATCGGCGATCATGGTGAAACCAGGTCTGCGGACATATTGATCTCCTGGATTGTGCCAGACTCGCCGGCATACAGGTAATGTATATGGAAAATATACCATGGAATGTGTTTCATTGGAAGACGTATAGATAACACATGGTTAATGGGTCATTAGTCTCCTATAACCGAGATATAGGGTGATCTATTGATTTTGGCTGTCCCTTTATTGCCTCACAAGTTCTCAAGCAACATATACATATTTTTGAAACTTGGTAATAATAACCAGACCATCCTGACTCATTGTGATACCAACAGAAAAAGAAATCCGTGTTAGGGCTCATTAAAAATTCACAAATCCATTCCACTCCAAAACATACATTTCCAAATTTCTGTAACATACTCTGTATGAGCTTTAGATACTGATTTTGTCGATTTTGGAGTACAAGGTACAAGGCGGGATCCTGGAGGGTCTATCAATTATATCACTTAATACTCAAAGCAATATGCACGATATGCGCTACCATTCTTTATTCACATCCGCTTGATATGAATTTGTATATGTGGTAAAAAATGTAATACAAAGCAATAAATGTGAATAAAAATGTAACAATACAATTCAATGAATGAATAACTATTGATACCACCTTTATGTAATCAAGTTCCTACATCCCAAGTACTCAGATACATTGTAAAATGATTTTTCAACAATAATTTCTTGAATTCCTTTTTAAATAAAATATAAAGTTACTGATTTGTTGAATTTTAACTGGTAATTTGTTGAATAATATACATACACTAGTGCTTTTTCATTTAGAAAATCTTTTTCCTGCAGTATAGCAAAATATGCTTCGTCTAAATTTTACAATCATGATTAATGTTCCTGAAAATTTAGTCGCTATCAAAATATGTGCCGAGTAAAATTAGGAGTCAGATAAAGTAATATCGTATATATCCAGTTTTTATTAACTATGCGAATAATGTTAAAATTTATTACAAAAGTCTTATTTGAATTTAGGATTACTCGATTTCTTTGGCACTAGGATGAACATTTATCCAATATACGTTGAATTTTGGTATGAAGGTGATTCACACGTTTTGCAGATATAGTAACTGTAGTATCATCTGCAAACATAGTTACATGCACCCCAGAGATATGACACTTACATTAGTTGAATAACAGTGATCCCAATACAGATCCCTGAGGGACACCCTGCTCAACAGGTTACATATTGGATATTGTACTTTCAAGGTTCACTTTAAGTTTTCTGTCCTCCATGTATGAGATGAGCCAATCCTAAAAGAAGCCTCTTATACTCATCGAATATAGTTTTTGCCTCAATATATTTTCATCTAGAGTGTCAAATGCCTTATAGATCGAAAAGCAAAGACACTATCAAATCCGCCATTATCAAATTTGTTATAGATGTGTTCCAGTGATTGAGAACTAGTAGTTTCAACAGATATTTCAGCTCTAAACGCATGTTGAGATGTGTTTAGGATTCCAGATTTTTAAGCAAAATTATATAGTCTATGATACATGACTTTCTCTAGCAATTTAGATATGTTACTTAATATCGAAATTCGGGGATAGTTGTCAACATTATCATGTTCACCTTTTTTAAATTTAGGTTTTATTGTAACGAGTTTTGATTTGTAAGGAAAATTACCACTCCCCACAGACTTTAAGAATTTGCTGGTTGCTTAGAAAACAAAATTTTGTGAAAAAGATTACATGTTGACATAGCATGTTTGACCAGTTTGCATCAAGCAACTTATGCGAAAGCCCTTGAATTAAAAAAAAATAAAATTGGGCAAGTACTAGCACTTCACAAAGCAATATTTTAAGTTGAACAGGGAGGACATATCGACGAGCATATAGAACTTTCAGAGAAGCATAAGCTTTCTGGATACATTAATTTGAGGCTTGGATCTCATATTTGAGTCGAATTTTACTCCTAAATTTCTTACAGTGGCTGAATAAGGGATATATTTTCTTCTTATTTAGACGTGAACAGTGGGCTCAACATTGTCTTTCAATCTGCCAAATAACATAAGATGTGATTTGCTAGCGAATACAAATATAATAATAATCTTTCAATATCTCAAATGATAATGGCCAGGGCATCACGTTTATCGTTAGGATTGGTACCAAACGATTCGCCATGACTATTACCATATCAATCATTTTCTTTCTTATTTAAGGTGTGGTTGTTTGCAAGTAGGTGACAGGATAGTTGCATTAAACCATCAACCAAACTTAACGTTACAAGAAATAAATTCGATTTTGAAACTGGGTGAGGATCATACTATGGTTTCAAAAATAGCTTTGGAGGTGGAGTTTGATGTGGCCGATGCTGTGGTGCCGTCGAGTGGTATTTTCACAGTAAAAGTTGCAAGGCGAGGACCTGGTCTTGGAATTACCGTTACTGGTAAGATAATCACATCCTATGAATACCTAAATTCACACTTCAAGATACGTTACGAACATATCCGAGAATCTACAGACCATAACTAGATTTTTAAGTTGAGCAACCATTATCTATATAACAATAATAGTAATAAATGGCTTTTATTGCCAAGATAAGCACATAAAGAAAATACATAGAACAACAAGTTCTAGCTGCTTTCCTGACAAACGGCAGAATTCGGATCTTACTACCATATAGAAAGATCCGTTTTTTCATTCTTTCTTATGGCTTAAGAAACTTTTTAAGTGCTTGTGTGATAGAGTTTCATTTTTTTTATACCTGACAACATACAGACTTGCTGGAAGGGGCACTTTATGAATAAGATCATTAAAAAGATTCGATTATCTTCATTTAAAATAGATTAGTATTTCATATTTGGTGACTAGCACAATAGCCAAACAGCTGATCTATTCCTTCTGTATTCTATGATCAGAGGTGAAATGGAGTTACCCTAATTATTTTTTTACACCGATGCAGCCGCACAGGCAGAAGCCTAAGTGCCAGGGCACCGCGGCTGCTGAGAGGATCTCAAGGCAACTTTGATAATCCCATTTTTGAACTGCTTAAGGTTAGTAGAACTGGGAAAAACTTCCTCATGTAGATAGTTCCACAATCTTGATAGCGAAGAGCAAAGGAGCGGTCGTATCGGCCAGTTCTGGATGTACGAAGTTTTTCACGGTTAGGATAGGAGGCCGAAGTCAGGATGTCCTGTCTGCATAGCACATCAGGCGGCGGCATCATGGACTAGAGCTCTGAGGCTTAGCGGTAGAAAAGAGCTAGATCGCCAATCGCCTGCCGGTGCGAGTGTCGATACTACCGCTAAAGAAGAGACGTCGATCAGTCGGGCAGCCCTGCTCTGAACAGCATCGATCATAAATAATGTAGTCGGGGTGGCAGCACTTCAAATATGTGAGCAATACTCGAGGCTAGGTCCTATCTGGGGATTGTTCAGAGTGATGAGGTCATGTGGAGAAAAGTACTTCTTAGCCCTACACAAATAGTCTAGGGTTTTCCCAGCAGCTACCGCCATTGACCAGATGTGTTCGTGCCAGATCAGATCCTTGGTGATCTGGACTCATACCAGACGAAATGAACGGCTCGTTGGCAGAACTCGGCCATCCATTGAAACCGGATGAGCGCTAGGACGCTTTTTGTTCGCCAAGGTACTGTACTGGGTTTTGGAAGCATCAAACTGTACAAGATTGTTGCGTCTCTAAGCAGTGATAAGCTTCAGGTCTCTCATCGGAGAGGAAGTCGCTGCTAGTCTTCTTTCTACAGCGCACCGGCAGAGATCGGCTTGTCACTCTAAATTCCTGCATGTAGAGTACTGTCATCAGCAAAGCTCTGGATTGAAGTCATCGTACAGAAAAGGAAGTCGTTGATATGTGGGTTGAAGAGGAGAGAAAATCAGCCACCCATCTGCATAGCTTCTCTGGGAGGTCATAGGAGGGCAAAAAGAAAACCTATATGCCTGTAGTTGTAGGGATCGGACTTACATCCCTTTTGGGATGAGTTAGACATGGGCAAATTTCCAGTTTTCTGCGAAGGTGTCGTATTCGTAAGAAATCTGGAAGAAATGGAAAAGAACTGGAGCAACTTCCGCCGCTCACCTCTTCAATACAACGGCAGCAATCAAGTGCGGACCAGGAGCTTTGTTCTTCTTTTCATACCATGCTGATCTTTGGCATTGCGGACCGATTCCTTATATTTGCTTCCCGACTGACGTCGGCTTGTCTATGCTCTACAGCGAGATTTTGTAAGAACGTTTTATGTGCCTTGCTCTTTTGCTGACGTACAGTATTGCACGACTTGTTGTACCAGTCGTTGGACCCTGGTTTATGCACGTTCACTGCATGAGGGATAATTTCGGTTATTGGTTGATGAACAGACAGCTGAAGTTCCAGCGAAACAAACATCTCTCTAAGCAAAGGTGGAGAAAATGTTGCTGAGCCCCTTCCAGTCGTCATGTCCATAATGTCAAATTCTGCGGCCTGGGCGAGTTTCTGCTGCCACAGCGGGTTCTGATCAAAACCAAACCTCCACAACACCGTGGTCTGAGTTTTCCAGGGGAGACAGGATACGTGGTCAGAAAGAGATCCAACAAGCTACTGGCGTGTGACGAAATGCTGGGAAAAAGTAAGGCTCGTCACTAGCTAGGCCAGTCCTTGTGTAATAGCGAAGGCTTAAACAGCACGATCTGCCGCATCGGTCTTGCTCGAGCCCAACCAGATCTCATTACGGCAGCGAATTATTTAAATAGGTCATCCCTGTTTTGGTCCGCGAGAGAGAGAGAGAGAGAGAGAGCGATAACGGCAGCAAATAAATTTGGGGGACGTTTTGGAGTCGAGGTGAAGCCGCAGAATGTCCCTCCGGCCTGATTAAAAAGAAAGGAATTCGGAGCAGGAAACACTGCAATCTGAGATTTTGGTCTCCGCCAAGAAATGCATGGCTGGACGATTAGACTGCAGGTGATGGTAAACAGCTATTAATCCCGCAGAAGCTCGTGAAACAAATTTTATCGTCGTTGTTGTTCCCTCGAGTCCTCCGAATGGAGTGAGTTTACGACCAGAATTCTTAGTACTAGAGGGATCCATCGTCATTTATTTCTTTGTTGGGGGAGTTAACCGACTTCGCAGCTTAGATGTGAGAATGCGGACATTCTTAACGCACCCTGGAAAAAGCTAGCGGGTGGTACCGCCTCGGTTTTCTGGTCTTTGTCTGCCACCTTCTTTTTGCTTGTTAACGATGTTAAATACACATAAAGTGATCCGTTGACGGGCTTGTGCCTCTACTCGGAAATCGGTACTGCGTTATTCCTTAACGCGTGTACAACCACGGGAAGAAGATGTATATTGGATACAATTTCAGGAAAAAGCATGTGCCACTTTCCCGCTCAGTAGGGGAAGATTATTATGAGTATTTTTGATATCTGATTCTTTTGCTGGTATGGAATAAATCTGATGTCTTAGATTACAGTTCATCTGGGATGATGAAATGTATTAAAATTTATTTTCAGCCTCCAAAACTCGTCCGGACGATCCTTTCACCATAACTGAAGTTCTGCGTGGTTCACCAGCTCATCGAACGGGCACTCTAAGAGCAGGAGATAGGTTGTTGGCCATCGATGGTAGGCCATTGAACGAAGTTTCTGGAGCTGCGGGTCCAGAAGCATCACCCAGGCTTATTAGGGATGGAGAAGTAGTAGCTTTGAGAGTGGAAAAGCCTTCTGCATCAACACAAACGGCTGTAGTGCAGGTATATGATTTGTTCTGATGGTACAAAACCACTTGTGTGACGAGATTTTGCGAAGATCATGTAATGGTTTGATAACCGAATACTGACAATTAACTTCAGCAAAACTAACTTTCCTTACACCAAAAACTTGCCTACTTACAAAGCTTTAAATATAACAGTGGATAACATCAAGAATGATATGGTATCGGTGCAAAGAATGAAATATCTCGGAATATACAGAGTGTCTTCAAAGTTGAGTAATTTATTTTAATAGTTTGTAGAACGCGTCAAAAGAGGTTGATATATCAAAAATCACCTAACATTTATATAAAAGTTGCATAATAAGAGACTTAGTTTACATTTCTAAAAATTCTTTCAAAAAATCATGTTAAAGTCAAATGAATACAGTTTTTACAAAAAATATTCAAAAACTCCACAGAAAAAAATTGCATGGAGTTAAACCCAGTGAGCGAGCAGGCCAAGAAATGGGTCCATTGCGCCCTATACATCTATTCGGAAACTGATTATTTAGATGTTCACGAACTTCTCATCTAAAATGTGGTAGAGCACCATCATGTAGGAACTACATATTATGTTTCACATTTAGAGGAACATCTTTTAATAATTGTGGCAGATTGTGTCAAAGAAAATCTAAATAAATTTCACCGGTAAGTCGAGGTGGAAAAAAGTAGGGTCTAATTAGCATGTCATTTAGTACGCTCAAACATTTAACGAAAATGAATGTTGAAAATGAGTTATTTTCATAGCATGCGGATTTTATACTGCCCAAACATGATTGATGTGGAAATTCTGCACTCCATTTTGTGTAAATGTGGCCTCGTCTATACACAAAGTTAATTTCGTAAAATCTACATTTCTGCCGAACTGTTCTAAAAGCCACTGTCAAAATACAACTCTTCTAGGATGATCTTCAAGTTGTAACGCTTGTACCCGTTGATAGTGATAAGAATACTGTTCTTGCCGTATTGTCTTCCACGCTTTACTACGAGGAACTGCAACTTGAGTTGAGCTCTAGTACTCATTGTTGGGTCGTCTTTGACCATTTCTAAAATGTCTTCCTCAGTTTGTAACATTTCAAGTTGAGCAGGTCCTCTAGCGTGACCTCCTCGTTGTTCTTTCAAATATCAAATCATCAAAAATTCTTTTTAAGTCCCAAAACCGGAAAAACATGTTTTACAAAGGTTCCTACAGCTGTCTGAGATCTAGTTGTTATAATATGCTCCCTGAAGAATTACAACAAATAAGCTCACTTGGACTATTTAAGAAAAAAGTAAAACAATGGATAACGACATTTTACCAAGGTTTCACACACGCCAAATTATTCATCTGAAAAATAATTGAAATACCATAATGAATAAAAAAAACTACATTAGACAGTATTCCCAAATATATGTAAGAGGGTCCGTACCTGCCCAGTTTAGCTCAGCAGCTACTGATCTGTGCTCCGTAAATCTATAGGATTTTATAGTGAATTTAGTTAATTTTTCGTTTCGATTTCTACGTAGACATTAACAGCTAGCATAAGACTGTAAGTACTGCATTACAGAATCCTGAAATAATTTGTTTTCAACATAAAGTACGTGCTTAAACAAATCGCTACAAACTAGAACCATCCGTTTGCTACGAAATTCCAAGGAATTCCACGTCTGTTCACAGTCGGGGACAGGTCCGTACTGGAAATGGTGCAAGGAAGGTTTGAGTCAGAAGAATACGTATACTAACAATATGGAAGGCGTTAATATTCCTACAGAAACTCAAAACAGCAACTCACCACTAAATTACTCCTGAGCTCTCAACCGCCAGATATCCAAATACCCTAACAAGGAGCAGGCTATAATATTTAATACAATAGATGGAGCCCGAATACAAGATTATATCATCGAATTAGGTCCTCTAGTTGAGCCAAAAAATATCATATTCTGTTCTAGAGTAGCAAATAACAGAATATGTGTTTACTTATCCAGCAAAAACGCAGTCGATGCATTTTTGGACAACCATGGGAAAATCGTTGTTCATGGTGAAACTATTAAAGCGAGGAGATTAGTCACACCATCGGATCGTTTGGTCATATCAAATGTGTCCCCTACTATTCCACACAATATTATTCAAAACTGCTTGGAACAGTTAGGTCTCCAGTTACAATCTCCCATGTCATTCCTAAGGATTGGGGCCACTATTCCAGAGTATAGTCATATACTCAGCTTCAGACGTCAAGTATACATAGCTCCCACCGAAAGTACCATACCAGAATCCTTGGTGATTAGTCATGAAGGGTTGTCATATCGCATATTCTTATCATTGGACAGCCAAAAATGTTTCAAGTGCAACCAATCAGGACACATAGCCAACAATTGCAGATCTACATCCCAACCATCGACCTCAAACATGGATGATACCGTCCTTCCCTCATCCTCAGTAAAACCCAATAATAACATGTCTAGCAGTATTCAACTGGAACCCTCTATCACACAGGCGGCCGAAGTTCGACAGACACAACTGCCAATCTTAACTGAAGAATCTCCTAACAGACAGACCATATCCACTCCACAACCAATATTAAGTCAAAGCAAAGAACTTAACATAGAAATGCCACCTACTCCATCCGTAGCAACCACCGACGATGCTAGCAACACAGGCAAAAGAAGTTTTTCAACAACTGTTACCCCAACATCAGATGTTGAAACCTCATCAACTCCAACCTCCGGACCGACCTTTATAAAGCCAGCTAAAGCATCAGTGAAAAAACCAAAAATAGACTCCCAGCAAGCAGTTATTTCAGATCAAGCCTACGAACCAGCCAAACGTTTTATAGACACAAACCAAGACCTTTTAGTATTAAATTCTATCCAGATGAAAAGTCTCTTAGAAAATGTGCACGGAACCCAGAACGTTATATCAGTAGTAAACGAATACACCGTAGATATAAAAAGCTTGATTGAAACAATACTGCTCATATACCCTCATTTATCGGACCGAGCCCTGAAGAACAGGTTAACCAGGTTGCGCAAAAAACTAGAACGGCACATCGAAAATGACAATATCGACAGCGAAACCTCTTCTGTAGATTCTAGTTTCTTTTAATAATTTACAATGGCGTTCAAATCCATATTGCAGTGGAATCTAAATGGTTACTACCCACGCTTAAATATGCTACGTAAACTTATATCTGACTTTGCACCTGATATCATATGTCTTCAGGAAACTCACTTCCATGAATCTAAAACAAATTCACCTAAAGGATATAATGGATTTTTCAAAGATCGCAATAGTGCAACAGCCAGTGGAGGAGTAGCTATTTACGTAAGTTGCGACACTCCTGCTAACCCACTTAATCTTACCACCAATCTGGAAGCGATTGCAGTAACTTTGGATGCTCCTGAAAAGCTAACTATCTGTAACGTATACATTCCTCCGAATTACCACATAGATGACCAAGAACTAGAATCACTTTTGCAACAAATACCTTCCCCAAGGATAGTTCTAGGTGACTTCAATGCACATAACTATACATGGGGCTCATTCAAAAATGACTCAAGGGGAAACCTAGTAAACGACCTACTAGATTCATTTGGCTTAGCTTTACTGAATGACGGCAATAGTACCAGATTTGATGCTGCTACGAACAGATTCTCCGCTATCGATCTTAGCATATGTTCTCCCAGGCTCCTTAGCCACCTACAATGGAATACACAAGAAGACTTATATGGAAGTGACCATTTTCCAATAGTTATTACTAACTCAAAGTTCTGCAATAACAATGAGACAATGCCACCCCTTAAATGGAGATTGCAAAATGCAGACTGGAACCAATTTGCGACTCATATAGAAAATAATCTAAGACAAGAAATATTCCCCGAGGATGACATTAATTCCATAATTGAACAATTCAGCAAGGTCATCACAGATGCCGCACATCGCAGTATGGGGAAAACTAACCACATCAGGAAAAGAAATCCAGTCCCTTGGTGGAACAATGAATGCGAAGCAGCACTTCAATCCAGTAAACGAGCTATCAACAGACACAAGAGGCATAAAAATATCAACACGTTGATGGAGTTACGCAGCAGACAGGCTTATTTGAAGCTCACAACAAGAAAAAGCCAAAAATTATCATGGCAATCATACGTCAGTAGCATTACTAGCGATACACCCATTTCAAAGGTGTGGAAAAAAGTGAAAAACATATCCGGGGGCAAGACTTACTCAGCTATAAAATGTCTGAAAGAGGGAAACCGAAATGTTACAGGTAGCCAACAAATCTCAGAAGTATTGTCTAAAACGTACTATTCCCATTACAGTGTCGAGAACTATCCAGCCGGATTTCTAAGCTATAAGGCAATTTCAGAATCAAAACAAATTATAATAGAAGATGACAGTGAACCAATTAATACGCCCATATCAGAATCTGAATTTACAGAAGCACTAAACGATCTCAAAGATACGGCCTCCGGACCCGACGACATACCAGCCATATTTTTGAAACATCTTCCGTTGTCTGCTAGGAAACTTTTACTAGATTTATTCAATAATATTTGGACCAACCATGTATTCCCTGAGGTCTGGAGACAAGCCATAACTATTCCCGTGCTCAAGCCTAACAAATCTCCACAACTCTCTGAATCATATAGACCGATATCTTTAACCTGTTGTATGTGTAAGCTGCTTGAAAAGATAGTAAATCGAAGACTGTTATGGAGCTTAGAACACAGGAACCTGCTAATATCTGAACAAGCTGGATTCAGATCAAACAGAAGCACCACAGACAACATAATAGATTTGGAAACCCATATACACGAAGCCTTCTCGGACAGCCAACACTGTGTAGCAATCTATTTCGACATTAATAAAGCATTCGATACTACCTGGAAATACAATATCATCTCGAAACTTCATAAATGGGGGTACAATGGTAACATATTATCCATTGTCTCTAACTTCCTACAAAACAGAATCTTTCAAGTACGGTCAAATTGAGTGCTATCAGAACCAAAACAGCAAACGAACGGATTACCTCAAGGCTCTGTTATTAGTCCAACCCTTTTCCTAATAGCAATCAATGATGTGTTACAAGATATTGAGAAACCTTTGCAAGCACGTCTGTACGCAGATGATATGATTGTTTATGTCAGAGGCAAGAACCTAACAACAAATATAACACTACTGCAAAAGTACCTTGACAAGCTTGATTACTGGTCCAATCAAACAGGATTTGTGTTTTCCCCAGAGAAAACCAAATGCATTATCTTCTCTAGAAAACCGATTCACGAAGAACCCCCATTGAAGTTATGCAAGAAATCCTTGGAATATACCAGTGAAATCAAATTTCTTGGGGTAACCTTCGATAACAGATTAAACTGGAAGAAACACATCGCAAATGTCATTAAATCATGCCAGGCAGGAATGAATATGTTAAGATATTTATCTAATAGACATTGGGGCGCAGAAGGTAAATTGCTACTTATGATTTATAGAGCATTAATAAGATCAAAAATGGATTACGGATGTGTTGCTTACAACTCAGCTAAGCCCTCAACTCTAAAACCCCTAGATGTTTTACACAACACCGCCTTGCGATTGATCCTGGGAGCATACAGAACAACTCCAGTCGATAGCCTGTACTGCGAATCGGGAGAAGCGCCACTACATACCAGACGTCAGATACTAAGTCTTTCCTACTTCAACAAGAAAATCAGCAATCTTAATATGTCGGTTCAAAAATATCTATCCACTAAAAGAAATTATAGAGATACGCTTAAAATTTACCTAAGAAAACTCAACATACAAAATCCACCATCCACACTTCCCATCTTCCCAGTAACTATTCCACCATGGACACTATACAAGCCAGCCAGTATCACAACTCTTACAAAATTCGACAAGACCAATACACCAAACGAAGTAGTAAATCAACATTTCCGAAGTATTATTGGAGAATTTACAGAAGCTCAACAATTATACACAGATGCCTCGAAGATTGGACAAAACATAGGTGCCGCTGTAGTTACTCCTTCAGGTCCAATGAAATTCAAGCTACCAGAAACAGCCTCAATACTAACTGGCGAATTGTATGCAATTAGAGAAGCTATGCAATACATCAAACTAAGCTCCAGTCGGAAGTAGGTCATCATTACCGACTCCCTTAACTCAGTTACACTGGTCACAAAAATATATAACAATAATCCACTGGTCAATATTATAAAAATGGAAATACATAGCCTTGCACTCCAAAATAAAGAAGTAACCATCATATGGGTGCCATCACACAAAAATATACAGGGCAACCAAATAGCTCACGAGAACGCAAAAATGGCTGCGAACATGGACACAGTGACAAACAAGAAAGTTCCTACATCAGATGTGAAACTATTTTACCAAAATCGAACCATTGATTACTGGAACAATGCATGGCAAAATAAATCATCCAAACTATTAAAGGTAAAACACCATCTAAGTCCATGGCAGACCATCACCTCCAATAGAAGGCAGCAGACAATCTTAAGCCGTCTTCGTCTGGGCCACACCAGATTAACACATGAATACCTAATCATGCAGCAACCGGAACCCTATTGTGTGTTTTGTGACGTGACTTTAACTGTTGAACATATTTTAGTGGAGTTGTTAATGTTAGAACGTTACAGAATATCATGTAACCTTGATAAAGAACTATCAGTTATACTAGGACCAAGTAGCAATCTCACAAACCTCCTGAAATTTCTACAAAAATGCAAATATCTAAGTAAACTGTAATTTATTAAATCCGCCGCTAATGGCCAATTGGGTCGATGCGGCTTCTGTATTTACAAATAAAAAAAAATATTTATGTAACTTTCACCCGAATTAAGAGACTAGAGATACTATAATAAAGACAAAAACAGGATTAGATACTATTTCTAAATATGCCATTTTAACCGAATTGGGATACAGCATATCGTCCCCCAAAACACGAAGTGTCGTTTCTGACGTTTTTTTTTTGCAAATTTGAGTTACACCAGGTATGAGCCATATAAAGTCGCCGCTTCCTTCTAACAAAGTGCCGTATCTGAATTCTCAACCAACTTTGAGTAATTTTAATATTTGGTTTCAACGTATCTGCCTTAGCGCATTCAAAGAAAGTCACGAACTGTCGAATCTAAGTTTATTTGCAGATACGACAGTTCGTGATCTTTGTATGATTTAGCTAGTAAAGATTCTTATTGCTTTGTGTGGCAGGAAGCAGCAGGTAAGAGAGGATCTTCGGAGATACCGACCTGCCTTTCTAAAAGTTGTTTTATTTTCTGATGGGTGCTATAGTCAGAATAAAAACACTATAGTTGTTGCTATGCTCCTGTATGATTTGAGTACCCTTCCATCGCAGATGGAGATAACTTTAAGATTCTTTGTTACAAACCATGGACAAAATATGAAGGGGATTCTGCTCATAGCAGCATTCCTCATGCAATTTTAAAAGCAGGGGATACCTTTGAGCCGAGTCAGCTGTTACCGATTATCAATTTGGCAAGACGGAAACATCCGTATAAGGTATTTCCCTAACTTTTAGACTTCATGGATTTCAAAGCTTTGTCTGAGAATTTGAGGATTTTATCCATACGTACGAGAACTGCAGGAAGAATCTTAACTGGACAGACATCATGGAAGTTAAAGTTAATAAGTTACACTAAGATAAGATATTTTTCAATTAAAAAGAGGCGCATCAAATAGTGAAATGTCAGTTAGGCCACTATACACCTCATCAATAAATATTTCTAACAAGAAATTTAATGATCTCTTTGCTTTATATAATGGCAAAAATCCCGTGATAAGACTATCGGAAATAAAAATTTTATGAAGACTTACCTCACGATAAGGTTTAGGTTCAGTTTTTTTTTATGTAGATTTTGAGTATTTTTTGTTTATTAGTGCCTTCCCTTTGTCAATAAAAATTATTATCAATTTTGATTATAAATCATCATGTATGGGTCTTTTCTTCGAATCTTCCGTCTCAGCATTAAATAATTATTTTTGACAATACGATATGACGTATCTGACTTATCCATTTTTTTTTCTCAAAACTTACTCAGCAAACAACCATTTTGCTAGCTGCATTTGAAAACTGGTAGATTTGAGTATGCTAGACTCAAAACTATTTGTTATACACTTTTTATTGTATGATATACAGATTCTCAAAGAGATCCATTTTCCTTGTTTTGGCTCTCCTGAAAAATTAGGGAAATGTCAGTTACGACACTTCGTGTTTTGGAGGACGATATGTTGCAATAGAATAAAGAAGACATGTGTTGGGTTGTAGTTATTATAAGAGTTTTTTTTAAAAATCTTCTACCCGTACACAAGGTTCACCCTTCAGTGGGATTTTAATTTATTTGTCTCGATATAATTTTTCTGAGTATGGTGTATATTTTGAAAACCAAAATATTGTTATTACTAGATGCTCCAGAAAAACGCATTTATGAACTTTCCTTAATTCCATATTTATCTGACCACTGCCTTACAATTTATAGCACTTCAGCAGGTTCTCACATATTTCTGATTTTCTAACGGACGATATTACATTGAAAAATAGCTGTAGCAAAAAATCTATACTATATGCAGGTTTTTGGACTAAAGTAACGTCACATGTGATTGATGTATAGTTTTAGTTCTATTATATTTTATTAGAACTTGGTATGCATAGTTTGTTTTAACGTTATCTGGAGAGTTTTGATAGGCATAGGTTGAATGGAGAACTTTCTGATTATCCACAAAAATTATATTTATTGTGAAAATTTACCATATATTTTGGATAACCTTGTCACAATTTTTTCGGCAAGATGATTTTGTACTGGTATTCAACATATTTTCACAGAAGCCACCTAAGCCACCAGCGGACGAAGTTATATATGCGGTTGAGTTAAGACGTGGAGGAGGACCTCTTGGCATCACAGTTAGTGGCAGTGAGGATTGCTTAGAACCAGTTATACTGTCTAGGCTCACTGAAGGTGAGTAGCTTTTAAAGAAATTGTCAGGTACCGAATGGGGTTGAATAACAACACTACCATCCATACTTTTAAGCAGATACCACGTTAGTCAGAACAGATTCAATAAAGTCTCGAAGCGATCATAGCTTTAAGAAGGTTAAAATCATAGACCTCATCATAATTTTTTGTTCTTTTCTAGACAGGCGCCGTGGAATAGGTCCTCATTTTATATTAGATTAATTGAACATCTCTTTCTTACACATATTACGTTCTCGTATAAATGTATAAAATAACTTTTATGTGTTATCGCTAGGTAAAATTCTAGCATATCTTCATACTACTCGAATAATATATCTACACTGCTCAAATTAGTTTCGAAAGAAAGCTGATTTTCGAAGTGGTCCAAATATGATCACAATGTGTATTCCTTCTAAATATTTTTTTTAAGATTGGAAATTATTCAATTACTACTTTTAAAGCTATTGTAATTTACGTTTAGGTGGCTTAGCCGAAAAGACAGGTGCTTTACATGTTGGCGATCGTATACTGGCAATCAATGGTGAAAGCTTAGAGCACAAGCCCTTATCTGAAGCCATACGACTGTTGCAGTCTCCCACGGATCGTGTTCAGTTGAAGATAGCAAGGACAATCAAGCCCCCTTCAATTATAGGTAAGCGTTCTCACCAAATCGACGGCAACCTGGCCAGTTGCTGGCATTGTCGTCCTTAGTCGGTTTCGAGTTTTTTTTGGAGAGATAGATAAATATGTCTCATTGTCCGAAGAATATATTTATTCTTAATAACAAACCTAACTTAAAAATACAATTTAACATAATTGCATATGTGGACCTTAAGTAGGAGAACTGTAGAACTCACACATGATATAATATGGTTTACATATTAGAAAGTTTTTATGTTCACGGCGGAATATCTTTAATTTGTTAGTTCTTCTGATAGCATGAGGCAGACGCATGTAAATTTTCAGATCATTATAAATGATAGAGCCATTTGTTGGTTTAGGTACTACTAATTTAAAATCTCGTTTACGCCTAATGTTCTCACTTATATTTATTGTCTTAAATTCAGATTTATTTTAACAATAAGGGTTGCTGTTTCTAAAATTAACAATGGTACGTCAGTCATTATTTTAAGATTTACAAATAAGGGCCTGCATGTAGCTATAGGATTGCTTATTTACAAATATATCTAACAACACATTTTTGTAGAATAAGCTCTTTCTTTAAACAATTTTGGGAACAGACGCACCAGAAGGGAATGCTATATCTCAATCTAGTTTCAAATAAAGCAAAGTAACTGCTTAAGGCTGTGCTTTTTCCTACGTTGCTACTAATTGTTCTTATAATAAAGGAAATCTTTGCTAGTTGAGTAAGCAATTTGTCTACATTATTAGTAAAATCTAATTTAAGATCAATGGTCAGTCCCAAAAATTTGATGGTGTCTGTTTTGTGTATCAATTAATCATTTAAATTTATAAAATCAAGTGAGCATTTCAAAGTCATAAATGTCTTAATGAAGTCAAGTAATTATTGTCACACTATTTTGTGATTGATTATATATCACTATAAATTTTTGTTTTCATTTTTTTTGTTTTAATGTTATCAGCGAAATAAAGGTTATTACTATTTATAACTTAATTAATACTATATTATTAAGTTTATTAAATCATTATAGACTAAGAATAGGATCGGACCTGATGCTGATCCTTGAGGTACCCCTGCGTTTATATTTAATGTATTTGAAATATACATAACGTCTTGAAAGTTTTACCATTTGAGATCAATTATTTAAATATTTATTGAACCAACTGAGTGAAGTTCCAGTACGTCCACATTTGCTTAATTTTTTTAATAGTATATCATGATTTACACAGTCAAAAGCTTTGGAAAAATCGCAACAAACAGCTCTTGCAATTTGTTTATCATTTAAATTTGAATATAACTGTTGGATTAATGTGAAAAAAGCATCCATGGTATTTTTTTGAAATCCAAATTGGTAGTCACTTATAATTATGTTGATTTTTAGAAAGTCTCTTTATGTAATTGGAGCTATTTTTTCTATTATTTTTGCTACAACGGTAATTAAACTTACGCGTCTATAATTCTCTGGCAAATCGCTTGGATGTCGCTTATAAATAGGAACTACTGAAGTTTTTAAAAATTCTGGGTAAACACTTGTGTTAAGAGTAATATTTATAAGTTTTGTGAGCGTATCAAGAGCACCAAGTGAAGGATTAGCTATAATATTCAAAGAAATTTATGATATATATTTATATGGCTTATATTTATTTGTTAACGGATCATCAGTATTTTCTATAGTATTTTTTAGTTTCTCTGATGTTATGCAGTAATAATTATTTCTCTTAATTCCTTCCATGCACTCTTGGTTCTGTTTCCTGCACTTACTATTTTTTGCTTATAATAATTCTTCTTTGCTGAAGCTGAAACTTGCTTTTATATTCTATGATATACAGAATACAGTAGTTATTGAAACTTTCAATTTCGAGATGATATTTTCAATTTCTTTGTGATCCACGGTTTTTCACGTTTAATTTCAACTTTTTGATATGGGAAGCTTTCAGAAAAATCATTCACAACTTGTGCGTAAAATGCTAGGACCGGATTATAAGTAATCAATCTATCATTCCAGTTTATTGTAATACATTTGTTACAGAATTTTTTATAGTTATGATCATTGAACAGTGTGGTATATTTATATCTCTTTTGATGTCATGAAACATGTCATCTTTCGATATCATTGAGACACTTAGTTAACGTAGTCTTACACGTGTTGGAAAATTGCAACCTTTGGAGGAATGCCCCAACTACCAATAGTTAAGAACTTACAGCTTAAGCGTAGAAGCTTCAAATGGCCTCCGATAGTGCCAAGCAGATGGTACATCACATCAAGGCCAAACCATATAATAATAATAATAATAATAAAATTTTTTATTGAGATACAACTCAAAAGGAAAGGGTATTGTATAGACATTTTTCAACCCATCCGTAAGCATTAATATAAATAGATAAATTGCGAAAGAATAGATTGATAATAAACATAAGACAGATATAGTTAAATAACGTGGTTAACACATTACAATCAGTATAATTATATAATTATAAGAGTTCATTCTATATTTAAACTGTATAAATGGACAAGTAAATAACTACAGAAAAAAAATATAAATAGATAGAGATAAGGTCATAATGCCAAATAATAGATGGAATTCGCGATTACAGTACATGCAACTGATACAATAACATCGTATTAGTATACACCTTTTTGCTTGTTAAGAACATATAGCCTGAAGTATTTTTTAAACCGTTGTATGGAATTTTTGTCAAATAGTTCAACCTCTTTGTTCAAAATGGTTGAAGCCATGCAGCTGAAACTACTTTTAAACTTGCTTGAAGAGTACGTAGGAATAACATATAAATTTGAGTTTCTCGGATCTAAATTATGAACATCAGAAAGCCGCGTTAAATTGTTATACAGGTATGATGGTTTTTTATATTTGATCAGCATATACTGTATTGCAATTCAGCCTTTGAATTGTATTTTAGATAACCCAAATTATTGTAATGTGGAGATATATGTTCAAACCTGTTGATAGCGTTGTAACTATACCGTAAACAACAGTTTTGTAGAACCTGAACCTTGTGTTTCAAGTGCAGTTAAATATGTATAAAATACAGTTAAACCGTAGTCCATGTTAGATAGTACAACAGCATTGACTATTCGCCATCTCAAATCGGCAGATAGAATATTTTTAAGTCTCCAAAGGCTCCTAAACTGAAAATAACAGCTACTAATTTTACTAGCTATCTGAGATTCAAATGTTAGATTGCTGTCTATTAATATCCCTACGTTTTTGACATTGTCCGCTATATCAATAACCGACCCATTCAGTGTAATATCTTGGGATTTAATTGTGAGAGCACGGTTCACAATCACTTTACTACCGACAACAATCGCTACAGATTTGCTTGGATTTAGACGTAAACCAACTTGTATGGACCACTCACTTAGAGCATATAGATTTTCATTCACCTCACTCACTAGTCTGTTGATGTCACTCGCTGCACCAGATTTGTAGAGTTGCGTGTTGTCTGCATACATGTGGCCTTTCCATTGATGTTTGAGGAGCTGGGAAGGTCTGCTGTGTATATACTGAACAGTAAGGATCCAAGTATGCTGCCTTGAGGTACCCCTGATGCAACTGTCCTTTCACTAGAGAGAGTAACTTGTTATCCACTGTAATGCTGATGCTTTCACACCATAGTGAGACAACTTGGCTACCAGAAGATTATGGTCAACCAAGTCGAATGGTTTACTAAAATTGAGTAATATTAGTAATGTCACTTCTAAGTTATCGATGGATGCGGACATGTCGTTAGTTATGTTCATCAACGCTGAAGTGGTGGTGTTATTGATGTTTATATGGCATAACAATTCTGCTTCAACAATTTTTTCGATAAGCTTGGACATAGTTGGAAGTATATTTATTGCTCGGATGTCATCCAGTCGTGTGTCTAAGTACTTTGGCTAATGGTAGAACAATCGAGCGTTTCCATAGGTTCGGCATGATTGATGTGTTAGAAGAAGTATTGATTATATGGCATACAGCGTAATTGATGTAAGGGTAGATCATCTCTAGCATGGATAAGTTGATACCATCAATAGGGCTTGGATTAGACTTGATTGATTTGAAAACTTCCACCACCCGCTCAACAGGTAGCTCCATAAGCCTATTCATAATTACGCTATAGCATTTGTTGCTCAGAAAATAATTTATTGCATCTATTGACGCGTTAATACCTACCAGTAAGTGGATAAAATGATCATTAATACTATTAGGATCATATTGATTTACTAATCTCAAATCTGGTGTGAACATTCAGATTAGATATACATTGCCACTGTATTGCCGGGGAGTTCCTATATAACCTGGTTTTGAATTGGATGAAAGTTTTCTTTCAATTCTTTATGGCAAATGATACGTAGTTTCTCAAATCCTTGTAATACTCTAGATGAACTGAGTTATAGCTCCTAAAGTATCTGCAATACGCTTTCCTCTTCAACCGAATTATTGCTTTGATTGCATGTGTTATATAGGCGTTATAATTCTTCTTCAAGACAACCGTTTTTAATGGAGCATGTTTGTTATACAGCTGAATTATAGTATCGTTCAGCCATTTTAGTTGCTCGTTAACATCACTAAAACTATTGAGTCATTCCAGTTCACATTAGCAGCATCCTGTAGTAGGTCATCCACTCTGATAGTAGATAAACATCTGTATGTTAAGATTTTTGAGGCAACTTTAGGTAACGGAAGGTCTAAGCTACATTGGACTAAACGATGATCAGACAGGTACAGCATATCAAGGATGCCAAGGTTTGCGTAGTGTATCGATTTAGAAATGCATATAACATTAATCAAAGATGAGCTTATACCAGATACCCTTGTTGGTTCGGTTACAACTTGTTGCTTATCAAAGCAGTTTAAAATCAGATTCAGTTGCCTGTATCCAACCGTGTACTGTTTAAGAAAGTCAATATTTAGGTCTCCAAGCAATACTGTACCGTCGCTGCATGTACATAAATCTGCAAGGGTTGTTTCGATCTCCTCTAAACTAGACAGCAACCATGACCTTAGTGGTCTGGATATGACAAAAGAAATTTTTAACCTACCAGAAGTGACAGTTATGCATACCTGTTCGGTTTCTGTAAATATTTGAATACCGTAGATTGCTACCGTATAATAGAGATTATAATGCACGTAAAAACATACTCCTCCTCCTCTGTTCTGTCTGTCTGACATCGCAAGAGTATAGCCAGGTATCTGAATTAGTGTTGATGGATACCCGTGCGGAATCCAGGTTTCAGTGACGGCAATAATCGAGAATCTATTTTCCAAAACCATTTCGCTGAATTCATGAAACGACGGAATAAGGGAGCGTATGCTATCTTGACTAGTTTTTTGGACCTGTTGAGGTGCTCTTATTAGCTGAATCGGAATTAGCTGTTATATCCATTGCGCTTATAGATGTTCTTGGTTCTATATCATTGCCATGTTGCACATATGGGCGATGTATAAAAGCAGTTGCTTCCTGACCAGTAGAATTTTGGTTTTACAATAGCAGGCTCGCCGTTTATATATTTTATTAATAGATTCCGTTCGCCTTGCTGATTTCTAGTGTTCAGCTTACTCCGAAGTCTTTTTATTTTTTCCCGTTCCGCCACTGTCTTATCATCCTTAACGGAAACATTGTTGAAAGTTTCACTGTTCTTAAAAACCCTGCTATGACTCAATACGTATTTAGCTATAAGGCTATTATTGAAATATATCTTCAGTGGCCTGGGTCTGTTATCAATGGGGCTAAATTTATTAATTCTATGATGGTAGATAATCTTGTGTTAGGAGCTCCACCTTGCGTGTTGCTTATTAAATATATGATGTTAACAGCAATATTTAAAGATTCGGTACTGTTTGTTTCGGGTACACCCATTAGTAAAATATTTTTCTGTCTATTAATCCCATCTTTAATATCTCTCATTGAGGTAACGGACTGCGTGACTTGAGTTTTTAGTTTAGTGTCCTGACGTTTAAGTAACACGCACCGTTACTACAAGTACACCAAGTTGACATTTTAAAAGTAAATCGTACATAATGACTGTAGATAGAGCTAGCACACTTCTTGAAGTGTATGTCCAAGCTGCTGTCCAGTTACGTCTGTGATATCTCGTTTGTAGCAGAAATTACGAGTCGGAAACGCACCTTTTTATTCTCAGCTGAAAATCTTTTATTGACCAAGATTTTTGAAAAATTATACATTTATTTGAAATAGTATAATTATATCATTCAGTTAAAAGAATTTGACCTACATCCGGTTTGATTGACGAGAAATCATGGAGTTCTGTTAGCATGAACATCCCAGGATAAGTTTCAGGTGTTACATGAATATAATATGTCCTATTTCTTTATGGTGAATTGCTATATTTTGATATAAATGACGTCTTTTTTTGTAGAGGAGAATTCAGATGAGGCGCGCTGTAGTTACTCAAGCCCAGGTCTTCTAAGTGTTGATAGCGCCGTTGAGTCCTGGGATAGTTCACCAGATGCTGCGGGTGACATTAGCGCTGCTCCAACGGAAGTTGAGAGTATTCTCAGTGAGCCTGTGTCTGCATACCAAGAACCACATGGCAGAAGAGATTCGCAACTGCAGTACTATTCAGACACTGATGAGATATTCTATCCCAGTCCTTTGCCTTTACCGAATTATGGGTACGTTCAATTTATTTTCGTGATTTTTTTTACACCTGACTGATAATAGCTCAAAAACGATACTTTTAGACAGTATAGTATCTTTTACAACACAACGTCATAAGAAATAGCAAATAAACTATACGGTGCTTAAGGGGAGGTTGCTTAGATACGACTGACGATGCTGATTGTATGTCAGGGCGGTTTCCTTGTATTTTATCAAGTGCAACGCCCTGGAACTCTGTGTTTATTACTATTGCGCAAAACTAAAGCAACTTCATGATATAAAAAAGAGGAAAATTAAAATTATGCACCCTATTTAGTTTTTTCAGTAATTCTTTAATGACTTCATTCTACCAACTAATATTGTACAACAACATAAGTCTTGCTTTAGGGAAACGGCACTTAGTATGCAAATGCACTGACTTTGATTATGATGAAAATGTAGAAAAACCTAACATACAGGACCGTGCACAGAATTTCCAGTATAGTTATGCTTACGTTCTGTCACCACAACCCGCAGCCCTACGTTGGATTTACTTACATAATGCACACATCCTATCAAATGTGAAGTCCGTACGTGCATACTACGTTTTGTGGATATTTAACTCAAAGTAGGTCTGGAAGGTCAAATTTAGTGGGATTGCATATTTACAGCCGGTGCACATGGACGTATTTTGATGATGCGGTAACGCAACGTCGATGTTGCGTCGACTCAGACAGTGTTTGAGGGAAGTCCACACTAGCCTACAATAACGCATGCAGTTCTCTCGACGCGACGCAAGTAGCAAGATGGATTTTGATCATAAACAATGTGTTTTATTTGCATATTATGTATATAAGTATCATATTTGTAAAAAGACAAGAAAATACTGGGTACACCCTTATGTGAGTGCCCGTGCATTAAAAGGAGCATTTGTTAGTGATTTTTCAGATCTGAGAAACGACGAGGAGAAGTTTTTCAATTATTTTAGAATGAGTTCCAAATCGCTTGACGAATTACATGACAACTCCTCACGTCTTTAATTAATATTTCAGTGTCTAAATCAACGTCCGTCATTTTCAACGCACTGCTTTCCGTCGCTCGAGTGCACTCAATGATATAATCTAACGCTACTTGCACACACACCGATTTTGGACGGCCGGTAAAATATCGCCCAAAACGAACACCATATTCAGCATAAAAACCCTTGTGTGTCTAGTATCAAAAAAGCTTATAAAAGATTGAATCCAAGCTTGCACAAAAATACAGGGTGATGAGTTTGAATTTTTTGAGAAAAACTACAATTTGCGTTTTTGAGCACCCTGTACGAGCAAAAATTAGATAAAGTAACAAATAAGATAAAAGCTGAGGTGTGTAAGTTTTTTTCATACAAAGTTTAGCACTCAAATTTCAAAATGGCGGACTGAGGGGTTGCCGAAATGGGGGTTTTTCTAGACAAAACATCTTATACCTCACTAGCTAATTACCAGAACCCCATAGTATGTTATATCAATTTTCGGTTTATCCAAATATGCAATAAAATTTGAGGCATTCCAATTGAAAAATCATAACTTTGATATGTAGGTCGAAATTGGGACACCCTGTATAATGGCCAATTTTTTACAAATGTGTCCTACAATCTCATGTATAACACCCTATAAATAGATTTTCTCAAAATGTATTTGTTTATGAGTAATACATACAGTACAACATGGATGGGCCACCATATATATATATATATATATATATATATATATATATATATATATATAAATGTGTAACAGCTACAGGGCTGAATTTGGATCATTTTAAATGCCTTTAGCCCTTTTTTGTAACATATCTCATTTAAATGTATTTTGCTATTATTTTTACACAACTGTACGTTTCAAATAAACATTATTATTATTATTATTATTATTATTATTATTATTACTATTACATAATAATAAATTCAAAGTATAACTTACAGGGTGATTGCACGGAATAGGAATTTAAAAAAACCGACCCTAGAATTTTGGGTTTTCAAGACATCTTCAATTCAATTTCGAGCAATTTTGTGTAATCATGATGAAACCAAGATGGTAATCCTTGAAATTTTGAGCTTTTTGTCACATAAACTGTTAAAAATAAGATATTTAAATAAATATTTTTTATAACTGAATAAACTAACAAACCTACAATCAACCCATGTTGGTAATTAAGAAGCACCAATCATTGGTTTCCTCGTACATAGTCTAATATTTCAATAATTAGCTTAAAAGGTGTTAACTTTGGTAGAAAACGGAAAAAGTGAAAAAATCGAGTTCAAACTTGGATTTTCCAACCGTTCGGTTGAATAGTGCCTGAGATATGGCGTGTTTAGATAAATCAGTGAATAACGGATTTTGACCTTTCTATATTTTAGATATGAAATTATCTCGTTCCATAGCTTTTACCATATCACTCTGTTCATTAAAGTATGGAACACTCTGTATATAAAGTGCGAAAACATCTTAATTATACTGTAAGACATTGCGATGTAACCGCCAAAAACCATGGTAAGAACCGTGCTTTTGACTTTTATAAAGGGTGCCCCATAATACCATGTCAGTCTCTCATGAACATATAGAACACAAAAGTAATGCCACAAGCTCATATAAAGAAACGTAGATGAAAAATAAAGGACAATCGTAACCATGTCCGCAATAACGTAGTGTATCGATGTGTTTTTGCTCATTGGCTTCATCAGGCCCAAATTGATGTGCATCCAAAACACCGAAGTGAAAACATACGCCCATCATATCTGGATGCGGATATAAGTGTGCAAGTGTGTAACTTCCAATAGAAAAAATGTTCTACGGGACTCACCTGCAGAGATGCAGACCCCTAAATTACCTACTGGAAATCGGTTTTCCTTAAATATCCGTTGACAGTGTATAACTGAGCGAAATTTCTACAGCTTAGTGATCAGTTGGACAATTACATGAAGGTGTCGATTAACCTAATTAACTCGTTCAGTTCGTAAAAAACGAACAAGCCTCAGTATTGATGATATCTTTCATGATTCGGATGATGAGTATCAAATAAAAGAAATATTACAAGCAAAATGACCTCATTGCAGCCCAATCAGTCAAGGTTAACTGGTTCAAAATTCAGTTCCAAGATTTGTCCCACTTTTACATACATACAACATACAAACAGGTCAAATTAAATATGTGTTTGTAAAATAATAGCAATATTGCATTGGGGGTAGTCCGTCTCTGGTGATCTGAGCGAGTTAATTGTATTTCATGGATATGATAATTTGAAGCGTCAACTAACACCTAAGGTCCGTATCGTCAGTCGTCCCTACAATTGTAGGGCGCCTTTATGGCCTCCTTGATTGTCATAGTTTGCTACTTCTCCGTGTCAGAACTCTATTTTGAGGTTATGTCACAATCATCTATTTGCATCCAATTTCAAATGCAACTTACAAGCTGGTAAAAGTAAGTATCGCCAGTCAAGATTCAAAAATAAAGTTGTCATTCTAAGATCCAGAAATTGTTTATTCAATTCAATCCTTAATTACCAACACCTAAAATCAATGGAGTCGTGGATATTTTAGAAGGCTCTTTTCTTCATTGTCGCATTTTAAATTCGGCTCAATATTGTTTCAGAGTTTTGTGAATTTTGATTGGATGTTAACGTCTCTGAGGCAAAACTACCGATGATTTGAAAAAATGATGTTTATTTCTATTCGATAAAGTGAACAAATTAGGAAAGTAATATAACAGAACTAGCAACTACCGGACCTATATTTTGGCATTTTACATAGCGTCGCTTGTTCCAGTATGCATTTTTTTTTCATTTTAGAAGTGTAATACTAGCTCTTCAAGTGTCCATTGTATGTGATGGTCCAATACTGAAACAAGTCTTTTAATGTATCGGGTGTTTCAAATACGACCCTCGCCGTTGAGATCTCGGAAACGGTAAGAGATACAAAGTAGTTTAATTGGAGCGCATATTTAGATAATCAACAAAATGCCGCTTAGAAAGTTTTAAAAGTACTTCCGAAACGAGACGGAAAAAACAGAACTTTCCAAAAAAAAATTTTTTATTTTTTCTCGACCTTACTTCTCATGGGAATTCAAAACGAATCACACAGTAGTATTGCCACCTTTCTCCTCTACCAGATGGTATAAATAGAATGTCGGTATGATGATGAATAACATTTTTAGCCCTGATTCCAAATATATACGATATGTCATATATAAGCATTGCCAAACCTCAGTTATTCACAATTTGAATTTTCTAGGTAGGCTTTCAAATTATCAGATGATCATTTGTTTTGTATAATCGGATTTTAAAATAAATTGCATAATTAGCATTGCCACTCTTTCTCCTCTACAAGGAGGCGTAGTCAAATTCTCAATTCTGCTTTCGATCTCCATCCTCAACATTGTTTATTGCTTACTGACTCTCTATTGAAAGTTTTCGCAATAGAACAACATTTTTGATTATTAGGCATCTACCTGTGAATACAATACATCCATTTATGTCACGATAAACTAAAGTAATATTTACTCTTAGTAGAATTTGAATGTACAAAATTCCAATATAGTGCCAATACAAAAAAACAATGTTTGTGATGGAAGTCAAAGGAAAAAACCTCGAATTGAAAATTTGAACACGCCATTTTGTAGAGGAGAAAAAGTAGCAACGACAGCATGTAGTTTATTTCGAAATCGCACTTCGAATAAATTCAGGAAATGATAAAAATAATTTTGTGACGAAACAAATGACTATCTGATAATTTCAATTCTTTTTTTCTAAATAACTTAGGTTTGGCAATATCTATGAATGACATGTTATATATTTTTGGAACCAGAATTAAAAACTCAATTCATCTGTGCAAAAAACAAACATGGCATCCATAAGGAAAATTAAAGTAGATGCTGCAGGACAATAGACGAAATCTCATATTGAAATTCTAATTATGCCATGTTGTACAGGAGTAATGGTAGTGTGCAATTTATTTTCAATTACCACTACAAATCAAGTCAGAAGACACTGAAACGATTTTGGGAAAATTATTTTTTTTTTCATCTCTCTCCGGAAGTACTTTGAATTTTGAAACTTTGTTTAACCGATTTCATATCTTTTACCGTTTCCGAGATCCCAATGATGAGGGTAGAAGTTAAAACACCCTGTAGGCGTACAATACCGTTCAAAAGTTATTCCACAAGAAATATTTTCTGTGGGCGCCTTGTAAGATTTTTGTTACAGAGCGATTGTCCGAGATAATGACTAGATATTACTGTGTAAAGGATTCAGGGTCTAAAATTCTTCCTTAGTCTCAGCTTTCGCTTGTATTTTCCGAATTACCATCTCTGGTTTGTTTATGTATTATGTTAATTTAATTTATTTGATTATGTTCCAGGTACAATAATACTCAATCGCCAAGCTCATTTTCGAGTAAACCTCTGCCTTGCTCGTACAGCAGTGAAAGCATGTGGGAAAGCGAAATCTACCACGTCACCCTGTACAAGGACTCTGTCTACGATGATTATGGATTTAGCGTAAGCGACGGACTTTACGAAAAAGGTGTCTACGTAAACAGGATTAGGAAAGGTGGTCCTGCTGACATCGTAGGGTTACTAAAGCCGTATGATAGAATTATTCAGGTAAGCTATACATTTTAACTTTATTTTTATTAATATCGTAGAATGCTCAATATATAAGTAGGCGTTGCAAACAAATGCTTGTCTTGACATAAATACATGCATTTTTTTATTGTTTTTAATATCGCTTTATTATCGTCAAAGACACCAGGCGGTCATTTTAGCAATGTATAAAATGCTGACGTGCTACATTTTATACTAAAAAATGGTGAAAATACTGAGAAATGTATCTTGATGAATTTCCAAGTAAGCGCATTTCCTTATAGTTGGCTCAAAATTTAAATGAATATCAAGGGCGGATCCAGGATTTCGTCTAGGGGGGGGGGGGGCAAACGATCTCTGGGGCTGGTAATTTTTCTACCTCAGTGGAACTTCTAGAATTTATCCTATTATTGCTCCTTAAATCCATTGTGTTCTATCTGTTCAATGCCGACTTAAAAAAAAATATGGAAAGTGCCCAGAAATCCTCAGAAAGGCAATATTTTATTATATGAGAACAAAAGAATTACGTAGCATTCATAATTAACTAGTTTAATGATATTAAAGATTAAAACAAAAAAACTTAATTGCTCTGTTAACCAAAAAAGACATTTTGAGGGACCCCCAGACATATCCCAAACATTCCACACAAAACAATGTCTTTGATGGCGAAAACGAACATGAGACCAAAAATTTCACATTATCGTATGGACGCTAGACGAGACAAAGAAGGATGCCTATAGACTATCTATAGAACGTGTCTTGAGACCGTCTCCGGACTGCCTATAGACAAATTGCGCAACGGAGTCTACTAGTGTATACTAAGCTTAAGGATTAATACTCTGAACTACCCGTTAAACAAATCAAGTAATTGGTCCAAATACTGACACAATCAAGCACGTGTATTATATCAGCAAGTGATAAAAATATCAATAGATATAGTCAATTAGTTTTTGAAATTCAATTTAGATGTTTCAGTTTTCAAGCCGGGGTTGATCGCATGTACAAATGTTGGAAATCTTTGGAAAAAACTACGTATATATGTGAGGTCGTAATGATTTTGATAATGTATGTTTGTACGAAACAAGAACAGGGATACAGGGCTGTACACATTCACGTGTAGTGCAGAAGCTCTGTGACTTAAACGAATGCCAATATAGCAACATAAATAGAAACATACGCGGGAAAAAATGCGGCACGTGTGGTACTAACTTTGAGCATCGATCGTCGGATTTTCTGGACAGGCTACAGGCGCACGGCTAAGCAAATCTGATAAATGTATATTTCCAATGCAGGCGTTCATCTAACATATAGTCTAATCATATTAGCAAATTTCCCCAATTTTTGTGGAAATAGTTTTTATTTGACAACAAAGGATGATAAAACGTGTTCTTTGGGATTCAATCGATAGTGTTGACAGGTACGAAAAAACTTTTTAAGCAAGATTTTCAGGTATTTATGAGACCTACAGAATGAGACCACACGTGAAAAGATCCGACTAATAGCAAACATGTTATGGCCGAAAAACAAGGCAAAATGCAGGTTTTGGCACTTGGTAATGCGACGATCATTCTACGCAACTACTTGAAATTCTTCAAATCCGCAGGATTCATACTTCTGAATAACAACAGCAAAATTGGAGTATAACGGTCAAGTTGTTTTTTGAGAATTCCTAATTGTTTATCCCAAAACACCTGTTTTCCGGACATCACTACTAGTTTATTGAGCTATATACAGGATTCGTTCAAAGAGCATATTACAGCAAAATACACTAATTAACCTTGCCGATATGAATTACAAAGCATTTCGAAAGATGAATGTTATTTTTATGCCAAAAACAAAGGTTACGTTTTTTTCTTCAAAGCAAATTATAAAATTTCGTATTTGTGAGTAATTGAGCAAATGCGCTACGATATTCGAAATACATACGTTACTATACACATTTTAAAACAAAGCGGATGTGTCTATCATCTTTTGTTACGAGTTACTCACAAATACGAAATGTTTGAATTTGTTTAGAAGAAAAACATTACCCATCCTTTTTGCATAAAAATAACATTTATCTTCCGCAATAGTTTTCGATCCATATCGGCCGGAAGACACGTGTTTTGGAATAAACAATTAGAAATTCTCACAAACTACTTGACCAATCTACTCCAATTTTGTCGTGGTTATTTAAAAGTACCAATCCTACGAATTTGAAAAATTTCAAATATCTGCGAGAAACCGTCGTCGCATTACCAACACGTGCCAAGACCTGCAGTTTGCCTCGGTTTTTGGCGATAACTTTTTTGCTATTAGTCGGATCCTTTTACGTGTGGTCTCATTTTGTAGGTCTCATAAATGCTTAAAAATCTTATAAGGAGTGTTTTTTCGTCCCTGCCAATTATTTAGATTGAATCCCTAGAAACGCGTTTTCTTATTCTTTGTTGTCGAATAAAAGGTTTTCCCAAAATAATTGGTGTATGCATTTTATGCGTCCATGTTATGAATACCCCCTTGAGCAACTTGCAGCAATAAAAAAAGACTTTAGAATTATTTCACAAACCAGGGGTATCTTCGTCTAATATGATTAGACTAATAGTGCTTCGCTGCAACACCAGACCCGAACAAAATCAGTCAAACTTTACACACTGTTCAAATTACTTTTGAGCAACAAACAGAACATAAATCACTTATCAAGTGCAATCTGTATAGCTAATATATTGCTTAGAATTAGATTTGTCACGAGTCACAATACTGGTATATACCTATAAATCGTAAGAATTGTGCTGTAAACTAAGTGATGTCGAAGAGGGACAGCGTTTGCAATACCAAAGGATACCAAAAATCGCAATGCTAAGTTCCTATAGTTATAACTTATAGTTAGTATGCCTCTGTCGCCATAATGTGTCAGAAAGCAACACAATGGTGTTGGATTACAAAAGCAAGTGTCAGACGTCTAGGGGCGGGGCACCCGCGCCCCCTCTAAATCCGCCACTGATCAATATGGTTCATTCAAAGAGCCTGATATGTCTCGAAAAAAGGAATCTTTAGAGGAAACTCAGAATATTGTTTTACAAGCAGCTCTGAGATATCAACTAGGCAAATTGAGAGAAATCTAATAGTAAACAAATCCCCAGTCCAATTTAATTTGCTTAAAAATAGATATCACGTATGAATTTAGGATTTGCCATGTACTTAGACCACAGGATAGCGAGCGGCGCCTGCATTTCAGTGAGTGGCACACACGAACGTGCGAATATTTTAATTTTCCTTCAAAAATAATATGGTCCGACGAGACTATGGTCACTAATGATGATATATTTAATCACGCAACACTTATTAGTGGGCCCAAAAAAATCTGCGGGCTAAAAAAGTATCCAGACATCAAGAAGTTTTTGGGTTTAATATGGTGTAGAATTCTAGGTACCAAAAATTTGGTTTATTTACATACCACAACTGATTAACTGCAGAACGGTAGCTTCAATTCAATGATCTAGAACAGCGGTTCCCAACCTTTTTCTTTCTGCGAACCCCTTATAAAAATTGGAATATATAGGCGAACTCCCTGATCAGACGTTAGTAAGAGTAAACAAGACTGTTATCAAAATTGATTAGGTAATCATATGAATAATAGTTATAGTGAGCAAAGTAAATTAAAAAAAAGTAACGTAAAACATTTAGAGAAACGTTATTAAAACTTACAAAAAAAGGATTAATATAATATGAATACAAGTGATTCGATACTTGCAAAAATCCTCAATGGGATATTTGTGCCTGATTGTTGAAACAAAGAAATTCAAAATTTGGTTCAATGTCTGAAAGTTTAAGTTTCAAATCGGGTTCTGCATTGAATCTGTTTCTGTACTTATCTTTGAGGTAAGTGTATGTTGAAAAACCTTTCTCACACGGATACGTTGTGCAGAACGGTAACAAAATTTTCATTTCTTTTTGCGCTAAGATAGAGTATTCATTTTTTACTGAGCCAGAAGTCTATTGAAGAACGACCTGCAAAAACAGTTTCTAGAGAATTGTCAATGAGCTTTCTTTTTCCAATAAAGATAAAGAAGTGTCAGAAATTATATCTCCTTCAAAAGGACTGCTTATCCAGTTGTTTGATCTAGGTTTATTAGGAAATTCTTTGAACGTTAATTGAAGCTGTTTGAGATGTTCAGTAATATCTCTTTTTATGTGTTTGTCGAGTTGAAGTTTATTCTCTGATAAAAAGCTGCTGAGAGAACCAAAACAATGGTAATCATTCATCTGCAGACAGTGATTCCAAAAGTTGAACTTCTTTAGCATGGCTTCTATTCTATCATGAACATTGAAAATGGTGATTCCTGGACGCTGTAAAGACATATTTAGTTTATTTAATTTAGAAAAAATATCGGCTAAGAATGCAACTTTTTGGAGCCACAGAATGTCGGATACTGCAGCGGACGAATGAAATGGATGGCCAAGTAAAAAATGCCTGAATTTCAGACTTCATTTCAATCAAGCGGGCCAAACTTTGCCACGAGAAATCCACCTAACTTCTATATGAAGTAATAAAGAGACGTGGAGACTTCCCAAGTCCTCGCAAAGCTCACGGAATAGACGAGAATTTGTAGCACGGGACTTTATAAAATTCACAACTTTTACAGCTCCGCTCAAAGTATTGGCTAACTTTGCAGGAATACGCTTACATGTCAATGCCTGTCTATGAATACAGCAGTGATTCCATTCTATATTCTCGTTGATCTTCTTTATTTGCGCCACAAGACCAGAATATGTTCCAGTGATTGATTTTGCACCGTCTGTGCATACACTTAAGCAAAATGACCAGTTGATTTCATGTTTTTCAAAATAGTCATTGATCAGATTAAAAATAGCTGCACCAGTCGTATAAGTTTCCAGTGGTTTTGCAAATAGCACATCTTCTTGAATATAATTCTTAAACATATATCTAACATACACGAGCAATATTGCACAGTTTGCTCCATCGCTCGACTCGTCAAGCTGAATAGGAAAATATTTCAATTTTATTCTTTTAAAAAGTTCACTTCCAACACTGTTCGCCAAATCGTTAATTCTCCGTGACACTGTGCTGTTTGATAAAGGCACAAGGTCATTTTTTTTTGACGATCAAAAAGAAACAGTACAATTCTTATCATCTTCCAATTTCCTTTTAAAATAATTAATAGGTTTATCCTTGTAGTCCGGATGTCTTGTCTCAAGGTGCCGACGAAGAAGCGATGGTTTAAAACTACTGTTGGTCAGGACTTAATTACAAATTACACAAAGTGGTTTAGGTTCTGACTCTTCGTGGTGAAATAAAAACCCATTTGTAAATAGTCAGTGTCGAATTTTCATTTCTTTCCTTTTTTTCTACCATGCTTGTCTATTTTCTCATTACTTTTATTCTGGCGAGAACGTATGTACCTCACTATAACTTTCTAATCGCCACCCTGTGTTGGAGCCAAAAAGGGAAACCGAAGAAGAAGCAGTAGTTGATTGCTCATCTGGCTTTTTGTCAGAGTTCACAAAACTGCCCGTTTTTAACTAACTATGCATGTTGAATTTACAGAGTATTAATATATTAATTTAATTTCACGTTAGACATGCCTACGGCTCACGAAGCACGTTTGACTGTACTCGTACTTCCGTCACTGCGACCTTTTTATATCTGCAGATGTTATTCTCGTTCTTCCCAGTGCATTCTCAGAAAAGTACGGGGTGCTCGATTCGCCGAATTAGAACTCTTGCCGGATTGTTGTAGCGGTGGTGTTGCAATATTGAGGACAAATTCCGCCATTACCATAATTTTTTCGCGAACCCCCTGCATATAGCTCTCCTGATCTAGAAGACTGCTTGGATAATTCACCATTGGCACAGGTTAATAGATGTTGGTTTCAACAAGACGGTACTCCTGTACATAGCTCTCGGCAAGTTCCAGAGTATCGTTCTCAGCGATTTCCCGGAAGGTGGATTGGAACCTTCAGTGGAGTGCCCTGGTCAACGAGTTTCCCGAATTTAACTCCTCTGGACTTTCTTGTTTGGGGTTTTATTAGAAATCAAGTTTATCGGCATTCTTTGAAACTGAGCAGCAGCTGCGAGAATGTTTAATGGAAGCACTTAGTATGATTACACCAGAAATGTTACGTGATGTTTTGAATTCTACTGTTAGAAGATCGTATTTATGTTTTTAAAATAATGTCAACTTATTTGAACATCTATTGTGGATAAAATAAAAAAGAATATGAAAACCGTATTCGTTATTCTGATGTTCTAATGCTTGATGATCGTTTATCAGAAACGACCCGTCGGGCAAGAAATTTAAAAACACCGCCATGTAGTGCCTAAAAAGTGCCAATGAAAAAGTTCCATTAATTTTTAGATATTAATTAAAATGAAATCAGAAAACAATAAAAATGATGGCCAAGTTTTCGTTTTTCTCAAATATATCAGTAAGCCACGATATACAAGTTTCTCAACGGCATGTAAATACGCCCTAAAGAACGCAACTTTTCTTCCCTTATTTAACCTAAGCTGTATCTGCCACAGGTATTGAGATATCCAGGCATAGGGTCCTTATCTTGAACGCCATGTACCACATATGTATATGTATATAGTCCGACTTTTTCTGACTCTTTGCCAAAAAGCTCAATTTCCAACGGTGAAAACACAAAGTGGCACGATGAACAAACAAAAACTGTACTCTACATAATTATTTCTATAATCCACACTACTACTTAGATTCTCAGTTTGCACAGGCTGTTTCAACCAACGAATCAGGACTAGGTAGCAGTAGCAAGTATACGATCTGTTTGTAACCAAAATTACGAAGTTCAGGATGCAAGTTCATACTAGTTTTAGGAATTCAGATATAAGTGTTTTTTGTTTCGCGATGTCTATGACACGCAAATCCAGGTGGGGTCATAATAGGTAACGCTATTAAAATAGCTTCAGATCGATTTGAAGTTTCTCTTTGTATGGCTTGCAACAACTGAACAATTAAAGGGTAATATAATCGAACATCTTTGTAGAGAGGTTGCAATTTTTAGAAATCCAGAAAATTTGTTTTTATAGTTTCTGATTGCTTCAGGTTAGGACATATTGACGAAGTTCACACATTCTGTTTTGTGTATCAACACTTATCTTGATTTGAGGAAAATATGAAAATAGGCATAACTAAATGCTTGGTAATGACTCAATCTATTTTCCACTATTCTCATCTGAATTTTTTTTAAGCTGTTCATATGGGAAGACGAATTTAGTGTTTTATTTTCAGCCTCTACAGACAGTACCATGTTTGATAGTCAAAGTTGTCTCATAGAGGTCCTGAGATATTTTATTTACTTTTCGGAAAGCATCTTTCAGCTGTTGCCGTTGTAATCCAGAGAGTTAAAAATAGAAGCATGCTACTATCACTCAGCCGCACAGTCTATTATGAAAAGTATTCGTACGTAGGGGCCTGGGTACTATGGACCCTGTACCATTGATACGGCGGTTGCTACGCCCCTGGGTCCAATACAGCTATAACTACATAACTTGGATAAGACAATTCTGCGTTGCCTAATTCAACGTTTTTGGAGCAACCGTGTTTTTTGCCAATATCAATAGCTTTAAGTTTCATCAAAATTCTTTGTTACAGGTAAATGATACAAAAACACAAGATTTCGATTGCTGTCTGACAGTTCCTCTGATTGCTTCAGCAGGAGACCGGATAGAGCTTGTCATTGCTCGAAATCCATATATGAATTATGTAGAAAAGGTGAGGAATCAATCAGTTATTAAAATCAAATAGTGGTAAAATGTATAGTAAAGTTATTACATGTTTGGGTATGTGACCATCATTGGACCTTCCTAGATATATATACAAAACATAGCACTAGACCTCATTATGCATACAGGGTGTATCAAATGTCATGGATCAAATGTCACGAGGTGATCGGGGAGGTCACTTCCAATCAGAAAGAGCTTATTTATGTCCTTATCCAATTGTACACGGTTTTTTAGTTTTGCGCCACTTTTAAGAATTTGTATAAAATCTCTACTTTTGAGACTATCCTATTTTTTTCTGTGAGGTTATTTTTCGTTATTTCTCAGTCAGGTTTATATGAGATGTACTCAAGCGATGTATCGTTCAACAAAACCTAGCAGTGAAAAATTAATTCAGTAATGCAATCGTAATTTTATCTATTACAAAAATGTTAAGCAGATTCAAGTAGACTCGAAGAAACAAATAATGGGCAGTTAAACTATGTATAGTCACGAAAAAATTCCCGATATGGCTTTCCAAAATTTCTGTTAAGTAATCAGTTGCCCCAGACAAATTCTTAAAAATGACGATTACTCAAAAACCGTACACAAGGACATATATCATTTTTCTAATTAGAAGTGACCCCCATCAGCCTCTTATGTTTGATCCATGATGTTTGGGACTCCCTGTATATGTGTATATAATGAAATAAAATAATTTTATTATTTCTAACTAGTTGATTATTATGTATTCCAGGACAATCAGGACAACATATCCAAGAAATCATTCACGTCGTTCCAAGCACAGAACACAATAGTAAAGACATTGTAACCATAGACATGCAATTCCATAGGATATTTCTAAGTATCGAAATATTTATTTTATAATAAAATTATATATTTATTTACCTTATTAATAGGTACGTATCAGCTCCCAACAAAATGCATACTTACAATAAACGGATAATAAGAAAAATTGTGTGTACCTAATTTCTTACCGCTTTCCCTTATCAAATACATCTAGGCAATGTGAAATTTCTTACAAACTCCAAATTTACAAAAAGCGTATTTTGAAATTGCTCTAAACTGATTGACGAAAATGATTATATTATTATACTGTCGTTGATAACTACAGCCCTAAATAATTGCAAATCAAAATTACAGTAACAGACACAAACATATGGAATTTAACACTGGTCAATTTTACTGAAAATTTGTATAGTGATACTTTATTTTCTGATGATCAGATTTTATAATCGGCGCAAAGCTCAGAGATGCCTTCTATTTGAGAGACGTCCAAGATGTCAGTGCCTTAGTCCATGTTGGTAGACCCACCTGCACCGTCTTACGAGAACTGACTCGTCTCTAATGTACCCAAGGGACTTGACGATTTGAAAAATCACGAAAATACATCCAATATATAAACATATGTATTTGTACTTATCTCCTTATGCCATTTTCGAAGAGGTGAAAACAACCCCAAAGTTCCAAAATCGGTATAGACATGAGGAAAATCGAAGAAAATATTCTTCTACCTTTTAAAACAACATTCTAACCTTAACCGTTACCGAGATCCAGTGCTCTACTTCCGAGATTCCTTTCATTATAATTTTTATGTACATTGAAAAAATGATGAAGAAATTGATTTTGAAGGCTATCAAATGGAAGAGCAAACACAATTTCCAGACATACAGGTGGTATATCATTATAGATTTTATGTGAAATAGAAACTAGAGTACATAAAAATGTAGCTGTTGAGTATCAATGGTGGTATATCAATGTTGAATTGAATCTTAAGCACAATTATAATTTATAGATTTTTTTGGAAAATATCTGTGAAAAACATTTTTATTGAAACTGCATCACGGTACATTTACGTGATTTTAATATCAATTTTGATAATTAAGACTTCTACGCAAAGAAATTTAAACAGGTAACAAGTTTTTATGGACTATGACAAAAAGTCTATGACCACACCAGAATTACAAATCAATCAAGAACAATTATAGATTTGATAATAACTAACGAACAAAATTTAATTGCAAAAGTTATGCATACTCCTAAGATCAGTGATAATTCATGGATATGTTTTGAAGTTGAAAGTTAATTTGATGCTAACAAAGTGGAAGAAATTGCTAATATTAACTATGTAAAATTACGAGAAGCTCTTTTACTGCAAGATATGACTGAAGCTGATGTTGATGGCTACTATACAAGCCTATTGGATAATGTTGAAGTTCACATAAAAGAAGCTACAGTCAAGACAACAATTTATAAAAGGAAAAATCCAACACCTTGGCTCTCGCAGACGTTCAAGGATTCTAAATTAAAAAGAGACTACAATTATGAAAAGCTTTTATGATTACTGGAAGTGAAAATGATTGTCTAGAATACACAAGATCAAGAAACCAATCTGTAGCAGTTCTACGAGATGAAAAGAAAAAATATTACAATATCAAAATTGATCAGAGTAAAAATAATAGCAAACGTATGTGGAAAACGTTGAAAAACATTGTTTCTCATATTAGAAAAAGTACATTATCTAAAATGAAATTCGACGATGGGGTAATAACAAATGAAGAAATAATAGCAGATCGAATGAATACCTATTTCATAGAAAGTGTCAATGACATTGTAAAATCAATTATTGACGGGGATCCCAACCAATGACCCATTAGCTCAGATTATAATGCATCAAAAAGATTATATCAAATCAAAATAAGAGTGAGATTTTGTCTAAAAGTGTCCTTAATGAATGTTTTGATATTATTGGAGCAAGAATATTAATCCAGACAAATTTACTGTTTAAAATATGGCGAATTTCCAACAAAACTGAAATGTTCTACCATAACTCCTGTTTATAAAATTAAGAATTCTGAGTTGTACACCAATATGCAGCCAATAAATGTTCTGCCAGATGTTGAGAAAGTTTTTGAAGCAATTATTTACGAACAGATCATCGAGTTTAGTGAGGGAAATAACATTTTAACTAAATTTCAAGCTAGATTCAGAAAGAAACACTCAACTGAAACGGCAACATAAATGGTTTTAGAGGCCTGGAGGAGATGTATGGACAATCGGAAACATACAGTAACAGTGTTTTTGGACTTCAAAATGACGATTGAGATTACGGATTTAAAGGGTCTGTATTCAAAATTCTACAGAACCATTTAATTGACAGCAGTCAAAAAACCAAAATTGGATCTACATTATCAAGATCAAAAAATATTTCTGTTGGTATACCACAAGGTAGGAAACTGGGTCCACTACTATTTATTTTATACTTTAATGCTATTTGTAATATTTTTGATTATTGTAAACTTCAGATATTTGCAGATGATACATTAATATACGTATCAGATGAAAATATAGACCCTGCAAAAATGCTAAATTATGAATGTATGCTAATAGGGAAATACCTAAATCAAAATACTGTCACAGTTAGGATAAATGGAGATATAATTGAAAATGTTGTATATATATTGATAGTAAACTAAAGTTTGAGGATCACTATGAATACATTATTTCAAAAATTGCTAAGAAAACAAATTACTTTTATAGTGCTTCTCATAGTCTTGGTACCTATTCCAAGAAAATGGTTTATAATACAATTATTCTACCGCATTTACTATATTGATCAACTATCTTGTTCAATGCCAATGAAGCTGTGTTATCAAAATTACAAGTCTTGCAAAATAAAGCTATGAGAACAATATTGAATAAAAATAAGTACACCAAAATAAAATCTATGTTAGAAGAATTGGAGTGATTGAATATAAAAAACTTTAATATCATATTTGGTTCTTATTTTTATATTTAAAATAGACATTAAGAACACTAGATAGAATTGAATAATCATTACCACAACTATTATACAAGAGGAAATATAGATTTTCATTTACAAAATTGCAATAGTAATATACCTAGCAAATCTAAGGATTACTTGAACTTAATAAACTAAATAATGATATAAAGTCTACTTGTAATTTAACGATATTTAAAAGAAAATTAAAGGAATTTTTCATGGACAATGCAAATTCTTAGAGATGCAAATTTTGTTTTTTTTTTAAATATCTGTATGTTATGTAATTGTTAAGTTTTTTAGAAGAATGTACTTGTAGCAATCATGCTAAATAAACCTTAAACAAACAAACAAACAAAATCAGTGGTTGTACCACTAAGTATTTACTACAAGACAGCAAAAATAGTAAAAATCAAAGACAATAAATGTGTTAGGCCGATTTATTTGTGACATAGACATATACCTATCGGCTGTTTCAAATTCGACACTCACCAATGAGGTCTCGGAAAGAGATACGAAGTCGCTTAACAGAATTTACCCAAAATCATTTTAATTCTTTCTGACTATATTTGTAATGGGATGTTGAAATATAATTAATATAGCTATTTTGTATACTCTACAAGATTCCATAATTAGAATATAAATGTGATATTTCGTCTCTTGTCCTTCAGCATCAACTCATTTTTTCTCATAGATGCCATAGTGACCTTTTACCCAGATGAATAGAGCTTTTAACTCTGTTTCCACAACTGTATGATATGTCATACATTGACATTGCCAAACCTCAGTTACTTATCTACTACCATTATTATAGTCATTTGATTCGTATACCAGACCAGACCTCATATTGAACATAGTAACAGAGTTTGGAAGACTGAAAAGAGGGGAGATAACTCGAACAGTGAACGATGTACAGAGAAGAGTCAGGTATCTGTTATGATTTACTTCTTATTTATGCTTGTTATTGCTATTATCAAAAATAAAAATTTAATTTTGTGTTCAGGTTTCAACTCACCTCCTTAAAAGCCTTACATTTTCGTTTAGACAAAAAACTCATGGCCAACAAAGGAAATACATCACTGAATTTAGGACTGAAAAGTTCACTTAAATGTACAAAATTCCAATATAGCGTCCATATGATAAAATAGTGTTGGTGATGGAAGTCGAAAGAACAAACCTCGCATTCCAAATTTGGCTACGCCATCTTCTAGAGTAGAATAAGTGGCAACGAAAATCAGGCATTTATTATAAAATCTCATCTCAAATGAAGTCATGAAAAAATAAGAATGACTTCAGATTGCCAACCAAATGACTATCTGATTATTTCAATGCCAACCTAGAAAATCCTCGACATAGCTAAGGTTTACCAATGTCAATGTATGAAGTATTATACATGATTGCAATCAGAATTAGACACTTATTTACTTGTGCAAAAATCCAATATGGTGTCCTTAAGAAATAATAAGGTTGATGCTGGAGGACAAGAGTCGAAACATCGTATCGAAATTATAATTATGTTCCGTCCTCGTCGAAGTAAATATTTAGAATACATATTGTAGTACCCTCGTAGTTGTACCGTACTCCCACGATTTCAAAGCGCGCACGCAGCGAAGGAAAGCGGCACCACGCCTCTCCCCCCTACCTTCCTCCTCTCTGGTCGCCTATAGACAATCATTCCTTGTTTTCGTGCCAAACCGTTAACACACGTCAAGAAAGTGACGTGCAGGCCTCTTTTTCTGAAGGGACGTCAGCATCAAGTACCTGTCGACTAACGGACCTGTTTTAGGTGTAAGTCAAGTGAATATTAGTATGGATGCCTGGCCGGCGCTGCAGACTGTGCCTGACACGACGTTTGGGATAACGTTCTGACACTGCTGCTTGGGATAGCAATCTAGCTTGTCATAGCCAACTCCATACCTAGGACGAACAAAGACGTTTGGTATAACGCTGAAACATTGGACTCGGTTGGGATAGCAACGTGGACCTGGCTTGGGATAGTCAGCTCCACACCAAGGATGAACGAAGACATTTGGGATAACGTTGTAACATTGGACTCGGTTGCTTAGGATAGCAACATGGACCTAGCTTGTGATAGTCAACTCCACACCAAGGACGAATGAAGATGTTTGGGATAATGACTCAATACTGAACTCCTTTGCACAAATAACAACACT